CAGCAGTTTTTCCGTCTTCGCGGCTTTCTTCTTTGGACAATGTCTTGCATGATGGCTTTCCTGACGCCGCTAGACTGTGATTAATTTCCAAAATATTGCATTTTTGGATGTCTAGGAATTGTCAACGGCGATTCCTACCTACTTCTCGCTTATTACACATAATGACGAAAGAAACACATTCCTCTCTGCTAGCCTCATTACCATGAATCGGCTACCGAACGTTTGTTGTATCATCCTATTCTCCACATCCCATTCTCGTATGGCGATCATGAGGGGTCGACAACGATCAAGGTACAGGATCACACAAAAAGTCGAAGTCCAGTAAAGCGAGATCTGAAGCGATCGAATATAGGGCCGAGAGTAACCTAGTTTCAAACATCAAACCACGTGCGTTTAAATACACCTTCAATATCAGAAAGCACGTGAATAATTTTGTGCTGTAAACCCTCTGAACAGAGAAAGACAGCTTATAAAAAACAAGACGATCTTGCACAACGAAGCTTGTGAATACCAAGTAGGCGGAAACCTTCGGATAATTCGCTATAATATCAGATGTTGTACAACACGTCGTCATTCCTCACAACAGGGAATCATATTTTTCATGGAACAGAGGTACCGGCATTTACATATATTGCTTTTGACCAGCCCATGTTCAATCGGTAGAGCGCCGAACTCAGATCCGATAGGTGCAAAGTTCAAGCCAAGATCTGGGACACTGGTCGTTCTTCCTTCCGACGTTGATAAATAAGTACCACTTTGTGGCAAGGAAGCAGAAGATTACACGCTATGCTAGTCACACGGCTGCAGATTCTACCTTTAAAATAACTTACTCTTGGCTGATGACACAGACACAGATTAACACCTAACCATCAACTTCATGAAACGAATAGAAGGAAGTGCAGGAAGGCCGACGTCCCAAACTTCGATGAGTACTACTAATCATAAATGCATATTTTGAGACGAGATTTGCTAGGCGATTCGGATGCGTCTTATCCGCTCGTTCTTCATAGTAACTGCTTAAACAAAAAATAACCTCGTTACAAAAACTTTACTGGGAAATACTCACTGTTGGTGACATATAAACAGTTTTAGGCACAGACTTTGAAGATGGAACAATGAATGGTGACGAACCTGGACAGATGATCGCCATTTAGTCTAAGTTCTAATCTAAGTCAAAAATTGGCACTGATAAATACTGAGTTTATTGAACAACGCTTATTAAAAACTTATGCTGGGATAACGTTATGTAAATTACATTTCTGCGGTTGTTAAAGACGTTCGTTCCTATTAATATGGTACTTAATATTTAGACTGATAAAACGTTAGTCTTCAACATATCTGATGAGTTGACTGCTACATCTGTTGTACATTCTATGACTGCACAGGCAGTTGAAATACCGCCGTTGTTTCGTTATTCCAAACAGATGCGACGAACAGCAACGGAAACTTGCAAGCAATGTTTATATTTACGACGGGCCGATTTTTGAACATAACTGAAAAAGATTATGTTAATAAATTGTCCTTCCAAAAAATGAGATGGATAACGTCCATGATCCGGCGATTCTTTATTGATAAACCATATTTTACTTATGTTTTGCTTACATCATCAAACTTCAGACACTATTAATGTGTTCGAAAGTATTCTCGAATCTGCTTGCTCTATACACTTTGGAGAACAATTCAAACCACTGGAAACACTTCAATGAAGAATATTACTTTTGCCTAATGTTATCAAATATTAATCTGAACATCACTTGTAACAGCAAGGTATCACGTGATTCTTGGCTACTCCTCTATTCAATTTTATTTAGTCTTAGAAGACGGTGATAACCAAGGCAAGGCGAAACTATAATATGCTTAATTTTCTTATACTGAAACTTACCTCCAAAGTGATACCGATGCCTAAAGTCAGTTAATTTTAAAGCTCTCATAAACTTCAATAGCACATAGTTATTTCTTAGAATTTCTCTATTTCAACACATTTTAAATGTTCCTCAATTCTTCCCATACCATTTGCCGTAACTTCTATATTTCATAAACGGCGAGACCTCATTTTCAGATTTCCCACTTTAAACGCTATATCGCCTATTGATATTTCAACTACATGAAAAAGCTAGCAAAGAGTACTTCAAGTCGTACACTATGACTTGCCTTTGATGCAAAAATTGGGCAGAGATATTTTCAATTTGAACATTTGCTCGAACTGCAGTCTTTGCAAGCAACAG